TTTTTTTTTTTGGTTTTTCTCCGGTACCAGGAACCGAACTCACGACCTTGCGCTTGCCAGGCAGGCGCTTTGCCGCTGAGCTAAATCCCCAGCCCCGATAATTTGTCTTTTAATCCTTAGTTTAATCTTTAGTTCTGTCACACTGGAATAAGTACCATGGAATATACTGGAGAAAGTACTGATAAAAGAGCAAGAGTCAATGTCTACATCTCTGTAGATGGGAATAATTCAAGCCTTTCTGTAAGCACCCGTTTTTAAGGAGTTGCTGACCACTTCAAGAAAAAGAGGGAAAAGACAAACAGAAAACAACGCCCTCGTGCCCACCAAGCCGAAGGTCCTGAGCCCCAGCGGAGGCTCAGGCAACCTCCCGCGTGTGTTCTTCCGGAAGGTCTTGTAGGGCGCGCCCGCTTCCGGAGCCAGTCCCTACCTTGCAGCCTTCGCACGTGATGACTCCGTAGTGGATCCCGGAGGACTTATCGCCACAAATTTTGCATGGTATCACTTCAATTTGTGCTGAAAGGGAAAGCCAGACATTTTCAGTGTACAGTGTTGTCTCTCTCTCACCCTCTGTATCTCTTCCCCCCACCAGGATACTTATGTTTGAAGACCCTGGGGTGGGAGCGGGGGTGTGGAGTCACCCATTGCTACTCCAGGGGTTTTCCCTGGAGTCTTCTAAGCGAAGGGACAACCATTTACCATTACTGTTTGTTTTCTTCTCAAACTAAAATAATTAAATAAAGAAATAATGAGAAACCTGAAGTTTTCTAAACTTTTCACTGTTTTTTCGATTTTAAACTTAACCTTAAAATAGTTTGATGCCAAATCCCTTGAACTCATGATTGTTGATTTCTTATTTTACATTTGAAACATGAAGTCCCTAAGATGTTTCACATGGCCTTAGCTCCATACATTAAATAATAAAGGAAAACTAGGGCGCACGCGCACGTGTGTGTGTGTGTGTGTGTGTGTGTGTGTGTGGCAGCTTTACACATCATGTGGTTGGATGATTACTTGTGAAAATGTCAATCATGAATCAGCTCAATGTACAGGAAGAATGGTCAGTGTGTCCACTAAGATGCTGAAGACTGGTGACACAAGAAGATATGGCGAGGCTTCTCATAATCAAATTAATGAGACAACTAATCTCAATTAGTGAGAAATTAATGAGACAATTTCTAATGATCATATTAATGAAGACACGGAGAAATCAGAGAAAAATAATGCATCATGTTGGTGCTGAGCAGGAATGTTATAGGAGCCAGAATAGCTTCATTGGAGATGGAAGCATTTCATTTTGAAGACCGTGTGGCATTTGGTTAGTCTGAAGAGAAGGCAAAGGGCGGGGAGTGAGGAAGCATGGAGGTCCGGGAGGACTGTGACTGGTAACAGTGCAGCAGCTGGCTGTCATGCAGTGTGGGTCCCAGGGTCACATAGAGGGGTAGGGCCAGTCTGTGGCTCTACCAGAGTCAGGCCGAGGAGTTTTCTCCTCATCCCACCTACCACTGAAATGATCAAAGGGAACAGGGCGAGTGATGAAAGATGTGGTTTTTTTGTTAAGTTAGAAAGACAGGTTTGGCAGGCTAATCAGAACAGAAGACCCACTGAAGTTATTCCTAGTGAGTGTTTGGAGATGAGTGCAGGGATTACACACTGGTAGGAAGGATGGAGATGACAAAGCAGGTTGAACGGTGTTTGAAAGGCAGCAGTGAGACTATGATGACAGAGAGAATAACATGGATGAAGAACCGAAAGTTGCTTCTAGCCCCCAAGTCTTGAGAGTGAGATAAAGTAGTGAGTTTGACAAAAAATGAGGGATTTGCAAAATACAACATGGCCCAGGATTTCCATTCTTCATGTGTGCCATTTAGGATGATGCCTTGCAGGCCTCTGCACACGAATCCTACTGGAAAGATGATTTTAAGTCATTACTGCAGAGGTTACTTAGAATGCGGAAATTCCTCTGTCATTAATGGTATTTTTAGGAGTTGTTGAAATTATGCACACTAACAAGATTGACTATTTTCTTTCCCAGTGTAAAATAATTCTGCAAAATATGCTTCAAAATGCTTTATATATTGATCTGCCACTTGGATACATTTCTATAGTTTTTCACTCAAGTATACAAAACAAACAAATGTAAAACATTACCTCTCATTATTTCACATTTTATTTTATTTTATTTTATTTTTTGTCTTTTTGAGACAGGACCTTGCTATGCAGTTCAGGCTGGACTTGAGCTCACTTTGTAGCTCAGGCTGGTCTCAAATTCAGAACAATCCTCTGCCTCAGCCTCCTGAGTGCTGGGATTACAGGTGTGTACCACCATGCCCAGCCTTATTTTGCATTTTAAAAATAAGCAATTTTTAGCTTTATGGTAGCATATTGTTTTCAGAAGTATTTTACAGACGCTTCTAATCATCTTTGCAGGTAGAAAGATCAATATTATGTTCCCATTTTTTATATGAAAAAGCTGAGGAGCAAGGTTGTTAATGATGCTTTCAAGCTGATGTGATGTTAAATAACACATTCTCTCACTTGAGGTAAATCAAAGTAAGAACACAATTTTGAACTCCTGAAGTGGCAGCAAAAAAGCCCTAAAACATCAGAATAGGTAGTCACTTAAATAAGTTTTAATAAGTATTTCAGTTCACTTCTGCTTCTTTTAGCCTTTGGATTACTTGAACTTGTATTTGCTTTCAAGATTTTCTGCTACGGAAAGATACTAGATTTGAGGTCATTCTCTTCTGTCCTCCTGGGTTCCGGTCTTAAATCTATTAGTGATTAGGGGCCATGGTGAAGATGAAATCTCTGATCTTATGTTTCTGTTATGTTTTCTGCTTTATAAATACAAAGCTTAGCTGACAAACTTCATAGACTTGTGAGGTTCAAGTGGATATCTGTAAATAATAGAGCTAAAAATGTCTTCATCGGCAGTGTCATTGTTAGCATTGTTAGCTGGCTTTTCTAATGTTCTTGGACAAAAAAAAAAAATAACAAACCACACCATTAGTCCTTTATTAAAGATCTCGTCACTTTCAAGTAACCTAATGAATGACACTATAAGTTATTTGCACCATGGACTTTTAAAAAGTGATAACCTTTCAAACAGATTATTTATCATGATTACAAAACTGACTTAACAAAATCCCAGGTACCTATTATATATCTTTTATCTTATATGATATTAACACAGGGGCTCTCGTTGAATAAATTACTCCCCAGGGAGTAGCTTACACATGGGGAGAATCTGCTTGAATACGTTCTTAATTATAAAATGATCTAACTTTAAAGGAAATGAAAATAGAGGTAATTTACCCCCTGGGGCGGGAGAAGATGTTTTGAAAGGCACAAAGGTTATCCTATACAACTTTGGAAATACAAATGAGATGAAGAACATTTGATAGAGCATCTGCATATTTATACATATTTATAATCCTGGCTCAACATGTAATCCTGGAGAGCTATAAACACTTTAACAGCATTTTTAAAAGATGAAGTCACTTAAAATATGTGTTACTGTGTATAGGAAGGGGATATAGGTTTGGAAAGCTTATGACTACTTTTTACTCATTTTAGCAGAATAAATCATCTGAGGTTGATTAGCGGTGAAGACACATTTAGATTATTTAAAGCAGTAGTCCTTTTCCTTTTCTTGCACTTAAAAAATTAACTGCTCTGAGCTACAGCTTTATAGTTCATATTCTGTATTTTATAAAGTATATCTCCAGGACGGAGTATGTCGGGCACTAATTAGGACAACGGATCAGACTGCTGCTCTGGCATTTGTCATTTCTAAATGTCTTGCCATCACACCAGGCAGAGTGTCCTGTGGAATTGTCACACAGTGAATATACCCCTGGCAACATACTATGTCATCGTTTCGAGATGAATACCTTGGGAGGGTTTGGTGTCCTGGACCTCACCAGCAGTGACAGCAAAGAGTGATGGAGACTAAGGAGGGAATTTGACTTTGTACTTTTCTTGACCCTTGGATTTATTCATCCATAGTATTCCTTGAGAGACACACTGAGAAGAGTTGAGATGTCCTCAAGGTGGCTTGAGATTCACTCATTTTTCATTTTGTCCATATCTTCTATGTTCCAATTATATCTTCCTATTAATAAGCCTTTGTGTAGACTGTTGTGAAGATTTTACTTACCAATTCAGTTTCTGCTTATAAAAGCAACAATACATAGGTTTTCTCTTTTTTTGAAACAATATTCTCACAGTTGCCGTGTCATGAATGATTTAAAATAATGTGATACTGTCCCTATCCTAAAACAATTTGTGAAGTATGATTGATATGACACCCCAAGAGCTGGCAGGCAAATCGTACCCAACAATTACAGAGTAGCCAACATTTCCCTCCCTCTTTGCAGAGGGAAATTCTCTCTCCCACTGCTCCTTGAAGGTCCTTCCCTTGCTTAGTGTCTTCTGCCACAACCTTGTGCAAAGTCACCAAGCTTCAAGTCTTCCTGCTTATCAAAGTTTACACATTTTTCATTCTCCTCCCTCTAACCTCCCGAGGTGACAGCAGGCACTGAGGTTGATAGACTAAGCCAGGCTAAGGAGTTTGCTGGAATATGCATCACGCTGGTGGCCCAGATACCTTAACTCTTTCAGGCATCCGTCAGGAAAGATAGTGACACCGGGCCTCGCAGGGGCTTTCTGGTTGTAAGAACCATTTTTCTTGCACCTGTTCTTGTGTTCTTCTTTCCTGACATTTCAACTCCTTCACCTCCACATACTCATGTTTATGTTCTGGGCTTCTAAGTTAGGACAGGGATAAGGGTCATACTTGTTTTTTTTTGTTTTCAGTGGTGTCTAATTTTCTTTCTGTACAAATGAGATTTGATATACTTCCTTCTATGCAGGAGGTTTGAAGCAATACTGATCCTTCATATTGACAGTGAAAAGAAGAAATCAGAATCATGATTGGGAAGGGGTATCCACTTTGGGAAAGGTTCTCAGGTGATTCTCACACTTTAGGCTCCCAAAAGGAATTAAATGAATCAAATTATTTGCAAGGAATTCTCTTTACCCTGTGAATTTCATGCAAAGGCCACAAAACAAAACAAAACAGGCACAACAGCAAATGGCAAAACAAAATAACAACAACCCTCCCTCAAATCTGGACATGATGGCACACCCCTGTAATCCCAGTGCTCTGGGAGGCTGGGGCAGGAGGGTTGCAGGCTTGAGTCCAATCTGGTACTGCTAGCCACCTTAGTGAGATCCTGTCTCAATAAAACAAAAACTAAAAACTTTCAAACAGGAGACAGGTCAGAAATGAAAATTCTGAGGAATGACCTATGTTTCTTGTATTTGATTTGGGGTTATATTGCAGCATCTTTTGTTTTCTGGTTGTTTTATTCCCTGAAGAGAAAGACGAGGCATTTACCAGGCTGAGTCCTAGGCTTTGGACATTGTTCTTGGATACAGCACAGGCTAAGTTCCTGGACACTTGATTTGCCTGTTTCTGTTTCCCATAATTTTGCAGTTATGCTAAAAGT